AGTCCCAAAATCCACATTCTGCTCCAAGCAGCATAGTCAGGCCCATCACAGCAATACCTTGCTTCCTGGTACCAACTTCTGTAGCCCAGACTGGCCTCAAACTCATGATCATCCTTCCTCTGCATCCTTCTGCAAATCCTACTGGTCTGAAATTGCCTTGAGTCTCAGAAGAGACTTTGAATGGTGTTGAGGCTGATACACACACACACACACACACACACACACACACACACACACACACGCTGAGGTTGGAACAAATGTATTTTTACATTATTATATGGTTTCAACTCTATGGGGTCAGGAAGTTGAATTTGGTGGTTTAAGTAAGAATGGTTCCCTTAGGTTCATGGATTTGAATGCTTGACCACCGGGGAGGGGCACTGTTTGAAAGGATTAAGATTATGGCCTTGTTGGAGTGTGTTACTGGGGTGGGGATGTGAGGTTTCAGAAGCTCATGCCAAGCCCAGAGTCCTCTCCTCCTGCTGCCTAAAGATTCAAATGTGGAACTATCAGCGACTATGTCTACCTGTGTACCACCACTGCCATAAGGATAGTGTTCTAAACCTTTGAAACTATAAGAAAACCTCAATTAAATGCTTTCTTTTGTAAGAGTTGCCATGGTCATGGTGTCTCCTCACAGCAATAGAACACTGATTAAGACAGAAGGTGACATATATCATCTTTCATGAGTAAATCCTGCCAACATGGAATAGGATGATACCATTAAGGAGTATTCTGTGGAATCAACTGGTTTCTTCATTACCATGGAGAATGCTGAGGCCCACTTGAAGGGTAGAGACAAGAGTCATCACCTCTGATGAATCTGCTGATGCCCCCATATTTTGTATAGGCATGAACTGTGAGAAGTACAACTCAATTAAGATTATCAGCAGTGACTCCTATGCTACCTGATTTTAGCCCTGTTGTCTAAGACCATTCATAACATTATGGAGGAACTCATGACTATATTTCATGCCATCATTATCACCCAGAAGATCATGTATAGCCCCTTTGGGAAACTGTGGCATGATGATCATAAGACTGCACAGAACATCATTTCTGTGTCCAAGATTGTGGACAAGGTTATCCTGTAATGGGTCATATCATTCTGTATGCTGTAAATATGTGTTGCTCTGATTGGTTGATAAATAAAACTGTTTGGCCAGTGGTGAGGCAGAATAAGGTTAGTTGGGACATTCCAACTAGAGAGGGAGGAAGGAGAAAAGAGAGTAGAGGAGACACTGTTAGCTGCCGCCAGGAGAAGCAAGATGTAAAGATACTGGTAAGCCACAAGCCACGTGGCAAAGTATAGATTTATAGAAATGGGTTAATTTAAGATGTAAGGGCTAGCTAGCAAGAAGCCTGAGCCATTTTCCATGCAATTTGCAATTGATATAAGCCTCTGTGTGTTTACTTGGGTCTGAGCAGCTGTTGGAACAGGCAGGACACAGGAAAACCTTCAGCTTCTATTCTGGAGCTGAATGAAAAACTCAACTGGCATGACATTTAGCATTCTCAACTCAAAAGTATCCATCATAGGCAGATCTGATCTGCCTCATAGAAAAAACTACTAAATATGATGACATCACCAAGACAATAAAGCAAACATCATCAGACCCTTTAAAGGGCATCATGGGCTACACTGAGGACCACTGTAATTTAACAATAATATCCATTCTTCCACCTTGGAGGCTGGGCTTGGCATTTCTCTCAGTGACAACATTATCAAATTCCTTCAACCTCACCAAGAGGTTCATGATTCACATGGCCTCCAGGAAGGAAGAGTCCCTGTGTCATCCACTCCAGAAGGAATGTAAGAGGGAAAAGGAGACCCCAGACTGCTGGGGTGTCCATACCCCAACTCAGCATCCATCATACTACGAAGTTCCACTCCTTACAGTTTCCATTCTAGACCTCATGAAATGGGAGCCGGGGCAGGAGCAACTTTAGGGAGCTCTTGATCTAAAACCATCAGTAAAGTTTGGTAAATTGTCCCAAAAAAATGGAAATGTGAAAAGCAGTCAGCAAGCAGTTCAAATACAGGCAGTAGGAGATAGTTTACCAATTCCAGTAGTAGACCATAGTTGAAAGAATATTCAATGTTTTAGGAAAGAGAATTAGAAAATGGATTTCAAGAGAAGAGTAAATTCTATGATAATTCTCTGACAATCAGCCATGCCTCAGAGAAAAATGATTTTAATACAAATTAAATTCTCTTCTAGAACAAGTTGGGTGATGAGGTTAATTTTTAGCTTCAACTCTAATTCCTTTGATTGTTTCCATTTCATTCTTGTTGTACTTAAAAGTGGAATGACACTGAGGCAGAAATGGCCCTGGACCCCTTGTTGAAAGACGGGTGTGATAGCAAAGCTCATGGGCTTCCTTATTAGATGTCCTTTAAAGATACACACACACACACACACACACACACACACACACACACACACACACACACACACGAAGGGGGAGGACAAAGGAAGGAGGGAGGGAAGGAGAGAGAGGAGAGGAGAGGAGAGGAGAGGAGAGGAGAGGAGAGGAGAGGAGAGGAGAGGAGAGGAGAGGAGAGGAGAGGGATTCCAGAGTTCAGTACCAGGATGTTGCTGCTGGATTGATCTTTTTATGAATCGTGTACAGCAATTAATTCTCAAATGCCATTTCCAACATGTACTGCTTTTATGTCAAATATTGTGTTTGTAAACATGGCATGTAGTTTACTAATTTCTAGAAGAAAGATGTTAATGCCAATTCTAGGGCAATAGTGAGCCTCCTGGTTGTGCATTACATGGTGGAGTTTTCTACCATCCTTTTTACATTAAAAGATAATGAATCTCATATCCTCTACTGGTTCTTAAAAGCAGAGCATCATCTCGTCATGTGACAATATGAAAACACAGCTCATAAATAGTAAATGCAGCTTGGATTTTCTTATACTTGAAAACAAGAGTGACTGAGAGCTTCCCTGCTCCCCCTGGAGACCCAAAGTTCTTTATGAAAGAAGTTTGGAATTTCAGGTGGAAAGCTTAAAGGTTGAAGAAGATAGTATCTCAGCATTCAAGAAACTCATGACCCATTAGTGAGAAAGACAAGTAATAAAATAATGAAAGGTAATATTTATGGGGCATTTATTTCCTCCCTGGGTATAAGCTAAATGTTTAATGTGCATTTATGCATCGATCCTCATATTAAATGCTCAGCAGAGATGCCATTCTATTTCACAAATGAAGAAATTTGGGCAATACAAATTGAGCTAGCTCAGAGCAATAGTACCAGAAGGAAGCAGAACTGGAGATAAAATCCAGAGTCTGGCTCCAAAATCCACATCCTCAGCTGATAAACTGTATTGTCTTCCCAGTGAAATATGGAAGAAGCAAGCACGGATGTTGCAAAGCCCAAAAGAGAAGCATGCATTTCAGTGTAGCCAGAGTTTTCCTGCCTGGCCCGCAGTCAGGACAAATCTCTGTCACCTGCCAGTCCCACAGCCGCTCAGACCCAACCAAGTAAACACAGAGACTTATATTGCTTACAAACTGTATGGCCATGGCAGGCTTCTTGCTAACTGTTCTCATTTCTTAAATTAATCCATTTCTATAAATCTATACCTTGCCACGTGGCTTGTGGCTTACCGGCATCTTCACATGCTGCTTGTCATGGCGGCAGCTGGCAGTGTCTCCCTCCACCTTCCTGTTCTCTCAATTCTCCTCTCTGTTAGTCCTGCCTATACTTCCTGCCTAGCCACTGGCCAATCAGTGTTTTATTTATTGACCAACCAGAGCAATTTGACATAGAGACCATCCCATAACATTTCAGGGCTGCAGATTAGGTAGTACTGACACATGGGCAAGCAGTACCTGGATGGACCAATACCTAGAACAGTGAGTCTATAGCAAATTCAGCAATTAGAGGAACAAGGAAAATAGTCTTTTCTCTCAAGATTGTTATGTAATCATGAGATAAATACAGTACCACAAGATTATGATGTAAATGAATAACTACTGTTACCTAGTGATATCATAGATGTCCTGACATCATATTGCAATGCATTATTCAATTGTTTGTGGGGATGTGCATACAAACAAACCCATAAGAGCACACACAATTATGTACAGTATGTGAGAGTTAATAAGGACATTATTTTATATATTGTTTAAAGAATCATTTTGTATTTTTATTGATCTATGTGTGTATGCCATATGTGTGTGGATACTCTGGATACTCATGGAGGCCAAAAGAGGGCATCAAATTGCCTGGGGAGTTCCAGGTTGTGAACCACCTGATGTGGGTATTAGGAACTAAACTCAGATCCTCTGTAAGAGTAGTGAGTGTTCTCTAACCATTGAACCATCTCCTTATCCTCTGTGTATGTATTACATAATAAGCATGTGATTTTCATGTGTGTTTACTATATGATATCTTCATCATTGATAGTGCTCTTCTGTTTATAAAAGCATTTTACACAGTATTTCATGCTACAGTGGCACAATCATACAACTCATGTGTAACACTCTTCACACCATTCTCTCCTGTGCTTGATTTATTTATTTACTGTGTGTGAGAGTATGTGTGCCAAAGATGTGTGGTGTATAATTGTATGATGTACATGTACATGTAATGTGTGCTAAGTTCAGAGGAAGGTATCAGGTGTCCCGCTCTACAACTCTCCAACTTATTCCCTTGAGTCTCTCACTGAACCTGGAGCTAGGCTGGCAGCCAGCAAGCCCCAACAGTCCTCCTGCTGCCATCCCCACAAAACTGGAGTTACGGGCACATGTGAGGCCATGCCAGGCTTTTTATGTAGATACTAGGGAAACAACTCTGCTCCTTACACTTGTTCAACAAATGGCTTTTCCCACTGAGATATTGGTCACCTTTTTTGTGTTTGAGTTAATCTCGTGAAGCTTTGTTCAACATGGTTCTAGGATCAATTAACTGTATCATATACATACATACACACACGTATTTATCTATATACATACACACACACACACACACCATTTGGGTACCTGGAAAAATTTGGTTCGTTGTTTCTGTGCAGATTCTGGAGATCCATCACAAGTCAGTAAAGAAGAATCTCTGAGGATGAGAACGGAAGGATGCACATGTGGAAAAAGCAGCCAAAGTGTGAGATTTGGGAATTGCTGAAGTCTGTGACCTTTACAGTTCTTTCCAACCCTGACATTTCAACTCAACCTTATCTGATTTCTGTCTCAGTTAGGGTTACTACTGCTGTGAGGAAACACAATGACCAAAAACAAGTTAGGAAAGAAAGGCTTTATTTTGCTTAAACTTCCACATCATCAAAGGATCGGGCTAGGCACTCAAGCAGGCCCAGCACCTGGAGGCAGGAGCTGATGCAGAGGCCATCATGGGCTGGGCCCTCCCCCATCAATCAACAATTAAGAAAATGCCTTACAGGCTTGTTTGCAGCCTGATCTTATGAAGGTATTTTCTCAGTTGAAGTTCCCTCCTCTCAGATGACTCTAGCTTGTGTCAAGTTGACATAAAAACTAGCCAGCAGAGTAGCCACGAGACTAAAACAAGGGAGGAAATGAGGAGCAAAAACACTAGAGTCATCAAAGGCAAAGTAAGAACAGTCTGGCAGACACTGGGGCAAAGGGTTATTTTGATGATGCTTAAAAAGAAGCTTTTAAGTGTTATTTTTAAGTGATTTAAAACAATACTGTCATATTCTACCTGATGATGAATTTCAACTCATTGGTCTGCAAATCTTACCTCACCTCCACCACAGGCTGAATATCTCCTCGTTTTAACTCTTGGGATTTCTCTAAACCTGTGGTTCAAGAATCTTGTACGAGCTGAGGGCTTATGAATGATGTGTCTAGACAGCTTATGTTATATGCAGTTCTTAGTAATAGCATGTAGCATTTATGTGAGGTAGACCAAAAATAAATAAAGTATAAATATTCTCTATGCTCCACCATCTAATGTAGTGGTCCACAACCTGTGGGTTGTCACCCTTTTGGGGGTCAAATGACACTTTCACAGGGTAATCTAAGACCACCAGGAAACACAGATATTGACATTATGATTCATAGCAGTAGAATTTTTACAGTTATGAAGTAGCAACAAAATAATTTTATGGTTAGGGGTCACCACAATATGAGGGACTGTATTAAAGGGTCTCAGCTTTAGAAAGGTTGAGAACCACTGATCTAATGGAAAATCTATTCTTTTTTTTTCTTTTTTTTTAAAGGTTTATTTATTTATTATGTATACAGTGTTCTGCCTGCATGTGTCCTTGCAGGCCAGAAGAGGGCACCAGATCTAATTGCAAGTGGTTGTGAGCCACCATGTGGTTGCTGGGAATTGAACTCAGGACCTCTGGAAGAGCAGTCAGTGCTCTTAACCACTGAGCCATCTCTCCAGCCCGGAAAATCTATTCTTAAGACATGTGTGTTCACATATATGTATGTGCATGGGGTATATGCATGCACATGTGTGCATGTACGAGAACAAACCACGGGGCAACCTCAGACATTATTTCTCTTACAGTATTTCTCCCTGGGACCTGGGATTCAGCAGTTTGGTAGGACTGGCTGGCCAGTGAGCCTCAGCAACTCTCCTGACTCTGCCTCCCCAATGTTGAGATTACAAGCACATGCTACTATGCCTGAGGAGTGCTGGAGATCAAACTCAGGTCCTCTCATTTGAATTACAAGCTCTGCCCACTGAGGTATATCCCCTGCTCCACAAATTATATCTTTAATGGCTTGATTCCTTGAATTTTGTGGTAAACAATCTGAACAATGGACAGAAAGTCTTTTAAGAAACAATGGATTAAAACACACACACAAGGACACACACACACACATTCTGGAAACACATTTTTCGCAAACAGATTAAAAGGGCACAAAAGCATCAGCTTCCACTGAAGGATGGGATCAGTGTTGATGCAATTGTCAAACATTCATCAACCATCCACAAGTAACAGTGAATCATAACTTAATCCTCTATTTATTATGTGAAGATATAAAAAAATCATAAATCTCATGAAAATCAAAAGATCAAAATTTAGCAGCTGACAAGGCTTGAATTGTGTTTCTCCATGTCCAGCAACACGCCCCCCACCCCCCGCCAAGTTCAAGTTCTTTCCCTCTATGAATATGTAACCACCTGAGTAGTTACTACAAGTAGTCTACAAGTGAGGATTAAAATCTAGAGAGATGACTACAGTTAAGGGCACTGCTGCTCATCCAGAGCACAGGGCTTGGCTCTCAGTACCTATATGGGAGCTAACTTACTGCAACTCCAGTTGGCCTCTGTGGTCACTGCATATATGTGGTACACAGACATACATGAAGGCAAAACACACATACACATAAAATAAAAATAAAAATATTTTAAAAGCATTAATTTTATATTATACATAAGCAATATGTTATATACATATGATTAATTACATAATCAGTTTCTATGCAGGTGTTAGAGGCTACCTGCATTCTAGCCTTTCCATTCTAGGCAAGACAAATTGGAACAAACTTACCAGTCATGTGTTTACTTCAGAGCTAGCAAGTGATAGCCCTCATTTAGAATGTCAATTATTACTTCATTTGCTTTACAAAAATAGCAGGGAGGAGGTGAAAATGTCCCTTTGACATTTCAACTTCTACCTAAGGAATAGGGTGGTAACCATGACCAAATTTGGTATTGTAAATTTAATGTGTGTAAGTAACAACTGACCAGAACATGGCCCATGACTTCTTTTCAGGATGAAAGTAGTCCATGTACGTGGTGTAGGTATGGTATTTCTTTATTTGGCATGATTCTCAACCAGCCATTTAGTCGGGGTTGGGGGTTAGGGGTGTTAAACAGTATCCTGTGTTGCTAAAATATGACAGGTAATAGATTAGATTCAGTTAATGAATTTTTAACTAGATATTTTGAACAAGACATAGTCCCATCATAAGCTGAGGAACATCTCTATGTTAATATATTTCTCATACAATCTGGATGTCTAGCTACTTTTGGCAAAACCAGACCTACATTCTAAACTATGACAACCTAAGAGAAGGGAAGAACAGCTGCCCACTTTAAGCAGGGCAGGCACATCCTCTCCAATTTGGTCCCAATTCTCCTAGGCCACTTTCCTCTCTTCTGCCAAGCCCCTGCCAAGCCCCTGCAGACATGCAGGCTGGGGACTGCTTTGCTAAAGTCTTTGGTATTTCCATGAGCCAAACCAGAGCAGCAGTAGTCCTCCAACAGAGCTCTCATTTGATAGAATTTATGCCTGTCTCACTGTGCTACTTATTATTTTTGTATCTCTCACAGTACCGAGGCTTTCACAGACTAGGTGTCATGCATTTTAGTTGAAGAAATGAATAATTTAGTTTGAAGACAGCTCGTGTTTAGCTAAAACCTCTCCCATCTTCAACCAAAGTACTTCTAATGAAAGCTGGGGTCACATTAGCTCTTGGGAAATTATAAACATTCAGTTACCTGCCCTCATTCCTCTGGAACCTTCGAAGATAGGGGAATCACCTTTTAGAATCCATAATCATGAACTCAGCAGCACCTTTAAGCATGAGAAGGAAGTGTTCATTATGCAGTTTTAGCAGAACTTTCCACCCTGGTGTAGAGCCAACCTCGAATAAACTAGCTCTCAGAATATGCTATATCTTTAGCTATCAGAGCACCTGACCCAGCTGCTTCAACAGACAAGAGAAGAGACTGGAGTGGAGACCATTGTGGCCATCATATAATAACATGTGTTGAAGATGCTAGATGAGGGGCTGAGGATGTAGCACAACTGTTTTGCTAACATGCCTGAGGCTCTGAGTTTAAGCACCAGCAGGGCAGAAACTAGATGATGTGGTTCACATCTATAATGTCAGTAGTCAAAAAGTGAAGGCAGGAGAATCAGAAGTTCAAATATAGCCTCTAATACATGGCAAGTTCAAGGTCAGCCTGGGATACATAAGACCCTGTCTCAACTAAACAAACAACAAGAACAGCAAGATACCAGATAAACATTTGGCAGGAAGTCAGTCACAGAAACTGCCAGAAGTGTAGACAGATGGAAGTAGGGAAGAGGAAGAGAAGAGTTCATGTGGAAAAAGTAAAGGTAACTACAGGGTTGGGGTTTCCTTTTCCAAGTGGTACTTTTACAGAAAACTCTTGGGAGTTTCCAAACGAGCAGACTGAAAAACCATATGTTAACAGAAAATTTCAAATTACAAAGAATTTTCCTCTATTTGGCCAAGTGGATTGCATGTGGCTGATGTGTTGCTGCTTAAGAACACAAGGACTCATGTTGTTAGCTTTGACATTTCAACTGTGCTTTCTCAAGCTTAGAGGCATTGAAGGATTTCTGTCTCGTTAGCATGGCAGGGAATGCATCTGTCTCGTCTCTGCCACCTTCTCCTGCCATTGACTGCACAAGAGAAGGAATCACACAGATAAAGGGATTTCACTGTGATGATTTAGGCGGGGGAGGGCTTCAAAAGGATATGATCTGAGCTGCTCACAAATATGACGGAAAACTATACATGCTGTATGTAATTGATTGTTTCAGTTTTCTTGGGACTGAGGGGTCATCTGAGACATAAAACTTTTGTTTCTTTAAAATCAAGTCTGAGCGATTTCCCAGAATATGATAGTTTGATAACTAAAACCAAGAAGTTTGTGGCTCAACTAGAAGGGCTTGGTAATAGTAACAGTTTTTCCATCCCTGATTAGGCACTGCTCTGGTTTGCTTTTCTGCTGCTGTGATAAAACATTTATATTTATATAGAAAAAATATAAAATTAACATTCATGATAGTAGATGGGTAGTTTAAAATGATAAAAAAAAAAATTGTTCCCCAGGGCACTGCATACCAAACTCAGAAATCTGTACTCTTAGAATTTGACTATGCTAAGGTCTAAAAGCTTTTAGGAGACACACAAGACATAACAACCGTGCTGCACCTGAGGAGCTAACAATTGGTTATTAACTTTGGAACATTCTCAACTGAAACACAAATAGCATGTCCAGGGCTATATGGCAAAAATAAATGGAAGTTACCACAGATAAATATGCAGATAGAGAGCTTCTCACTTTCAAGGCAGTCTATC